TTGATGAATTTTGTCAACATTTAAAATCTAAGTGCTTGAGTATACTCCAGTACTCTGGGTCTTCTTTTGAGCAGTGAATTCTTCTAATAATATTATTAAGAACTGAATATTTATATTATACTATTATTGGCAAGACCAACAGCCAGTATACATAACCTCGGTCTGCTCCCTTTGGTATATAGTAGAGTCGAGCCTAACATATTATTTTCAAGTATATTAATTGTTGGACGTATAGATCCTATCACTCTAGTCTCCAATATACATTTTAAAACCATTTTTTACAAAACAGAACTGATAACGTACCTTCTGGATCTGGAATAAAATAAAAACTGTAGTTATTAATTAAAAAATATTAATAATTTTTTTCTGCTACAAGGACAGAGGTTGACCTAAAATTTATAAACAAGTGGCTTTAGACCAACACTTATTGGCATTTAATTAAAATTAGCTTATAGTTTCTTTTTAAGAATCCTGAAAATCAAATATAAGACCTTAAAAACATATCAGCTATCTAAATTATATTATTTAATATAATATATACAATAAACATTTTTGTCTCTAACTCCATACACATGTATGATTGGTCTAATATAATATCATATAAAGTAAAACTATTGCTAAAAATAAAAATGACTTACTGTATTTTTCTGTTAGAAATAAAATACACGGTAATAATTTAAAAGGATAATAATTTATTTATTTTATTTTCAGCATAAATTACGGGCATGTGCCCAATTTACAGTTAATATTTAAGTAATACAATTATAATAACTAGTGTGATATACAATGAATATTGTCGTTAAGAGTAGTTGGTAGTCTTAAGATAATGGAAAGGTGGGGTTAGAATTGGCCAGAAACATACAGCGCCAAAGTGGTTCATTTAAACCATAATTAGTGGAGGGGGTTGTGAAATTAAAAGTGGTATGTTGACGAATGAAGCGAGGAGGGACATTTATAGGAGTTAAGGAGTGGGTGAGTTGAATCAATCTACCACATTTCATAATTTATAAATGAATTTAAGGTTAGCAGCACGCCTACGATCTGAAAGGGAATCTAGTTTCAGATGCTCAAGTATTGGTAAATAGTTATGAGGGGGACATTCAATTTTAATCACATAACTGGCATATTTTAAAAATTTATTTTGTACACGCTCAAGCATTATTGCGTTTTGGGCAGTCTTAGGATCCCAAATGACAAAGCGGTACTTGAGAATAGGTCTGACAAGCGAACAGTACAGTGCCTTAAGAGGGGACGCTACCTTAAACTCCGTTGTTATCCGTTTAATAAAACCTAATAACTTAAGTGACTTATAACAGGCATGCTCAATATGATTATTTGGGATAGGTAAGTGAAATACACAGAAGAAAACCAAGATCAGTGACAGTTGTCCCACTGATTGCATATTAAAAATTAATTGGTGATTTAAGATGGGTAAAAGTCATACAGTGCCATTTGGTAATTTATATATCAAACCCTAGCTTGTTGGCAAAAGAAACAATTTTATTTAGTTCATCTTGTAGGGTAAGACAGTCGTTTTGAGAGTCAATAAGGTAGAATATTTTTACATCGTCCGAAAATGCTAGGAGCCGTACATGCTCTAATGTACGGTGTATACTATTTAAAAATACAGAAAAAAAGGAGGAACACCAGAAGAAATTGGAAGCATAGCAGAAGAGACAGCGTACATTTTAACAAATTGTTTCCTACCATCAATAAAAGAATGAATCCAAGATAAGAGGATATGTGAATCATGGGTCGATGGGTAACCCTACTATCTATATCCGTGTGGCGACCCAAAACAATGATTTGTAACCCCGGTATCAGCGCGTTAATCTCCTTTTAATATTGTACGTACGACCGCCTCCATGACGCGACCACGGTCGACCGACGAACTACCTCACATTTTCAGACGTACGTCGTCACCAACGCATCGCGCTCTGTAGCGCCCGAATATCTCAAAAGCCATAAAAACCACGTTTTAATTATACTCGCATCCGAAGGCCATTGTGTACCATTTTTTATATTATTTATTCTGACTGAATTATTATTTGACTATTATAATTAACTTATATTTTAATACGTTTTGTTTTATTTAAAATTGGTCAACTAAAATCGACATTCCGAAATTGCTACTAAATCCGTGATGATAACTAAAAAAACGATAAAATGTTCTCATCAGGTTTGGTTATATCGCGGCTTATCACCACTTGCTCCCGCCGTTTTCAGTACCGTTCCACATCGTGGACTATTTTGTGTTATATTCATTATTAACTGAATTATATTATATTCGTTTTAATAAAATTATTATTTATTGTACCATGTATACGACTTCTATGATTTTTACATAATTATGTTCCTTGTAACTTTGATCTCGCGTCCCCCATTGGTGACGCCAGTGACAAGTACAACACGGCCGACCGACTAGCCATCGTTCTCTTTTCTCACCGCTCTCGACCGAGCCACACGTTCCATTCTACTTGCGATCTCCGTCCACAAACCATAGTTTGCCGACACCCGAAGACCATGAGTGCATTACGTGGACCACTTCCGACCGTCTCCACTATACCGCTCCGATCTCGCGTCCTAGCATGGGTGACGTATCAGTCCATCGACCCGACGGTGCTGACTCTCGACCACTTTTCTTGTCGACCGCTCCAGCATAGAGAAACCCCAATTTCGTCGACCCGACCTACGAACAACAGCTACGATATGATGTATGCTACAAAAATTGTAGCGCAATCCATGCTCGGGTACGTTAATTATATATTTTGTAATAAACGATCTCGATGAAACCTCATCATTACAACAATCAGGTGTTAAATTTATTTCTTTCGTACGAGTTCCTAACCATCTGACTCTGGAGTCAGAGCAAACAATATTTATGCAGGTGTGGTTGTCGCCACTGTTATGCCATTCAAGCGTAGCCACTTCTACACTTGCTAAAGGTACAATATTTTTATCATTGGTATTGCATTTTGGTATACAGATAACAACACAAAGCGACACAACATGGGCAATTGTGGACCCCGATTAAGAAAGTCCGCTGTCCACTATGAAGTATTAAGTATTCACTTAAAATAAAAAAACAATAAGCACATCATTAATATCATGCATGGTATGTTCCATCCATGTATATATTATTATCTATGACTATGATCATGTCAGTCTACAGCCTATATTATATAAAAAAATATGGCTAAACATTTATGTCGGCAACGGTTGGCAACATGATTTAATATAAATAAGGCCAGGATTTGGCACAGCTACAGCGTGAGCAGATCCGCTGCCACATATGAAATTATCACTTCAAAAAACAACAACAGACATCATTATAAAATCAATACATTCACCACTACGCAATCAAAAATGAGCCATATATGATTGCATTGGCATTGCTTAACCATAGTATTGTATTAATCTATGCTAATAAACAACAATCTGGGAAACTGTATTCATGAAACACAATTTAGTAGCTAATTACAGAATAGATTGATAAGTAATTAAAAATTAAAAAAGTATTGAAATGGTAAGAATTGAACCACCTTTCTTTACTTAATTCAGCACCAGTGTTGTGACTCCTATATACTTAACGATGTGTGTTCAGATCTCTCTGTGAAATGCAGCAGGCTGTGTTTAAAGTTTAAACTTCATTATCGTGAGTTAGTTATGTCATTCGCGATGAAGCAAGTGAATAAACTGAACCATATAGACGTTGTTTAGCATTCCGATTATTTTTCGCAATTAGTGATGTGCCATTACGAATATTCCCCAAGGAATGGTCCCAGGAAAAGTCTATCCCAACCTTTCATAAAATTTCTTTTAAAAAAAAAAATATTTTTTTTATGTTATTCAGTATTTAAATTTCAGTATGTTTATTTTTATTTTTTCAACATATATAAATGAAAATTGGATCGTTTATTTTGTGATCATCATCATGGTTACTTAATAACTTATTTTTAAAGAATAAATATCTAAACTGACATAATATCAATGAAGAGCGCTGTCATTTATAACCAAAAGTTTAATTTAAGACTGAAACCTATGTTCAATATTTAAAATCGTATTATATTCCTGGGAAATTCCTGGTCTTGGGAATATTCCCGAAACTATATTCCCGGGAATTTGACCATCACTAATCCCAATCATCAGTATCCGTGTATACGTTATGGAGTTGTTCTGCCGGGTTAATCTGAGTGGTACTTGAAAGCTTTGTGAAGGACTGTTTTAGTATGTGTGTGTAACGTTATAATATAATATTTTATAAATAAAATATTTAGCCCCTTTTGGTTTCGATCACATGAATTTTGTTAATACAAATTTGAAATTTCACGAAATAAAATTATGAAACTAGGTACTAGTTTCAGTTAAAGTATATAAAAATTACTTACCTTTATTCACTAGAAACAAAAAAATAGTTTAATGTTATTGTTACTGATTTAAGTTCTAATATATGAAAACCTACCGTTGATTATGATTTATCAATATTTAATTATATTTAATATATAGTTGGAGATAATTTTTATTATTTACGAACATACTTTAGTTTTTTTATTAGAGTTAATACTTCAACTACTAAGGTCATTAGTCTGTGGTACTATTGGGCAAAGTACTGTAGATTTGCTTAAACGTGTGTGTTTGTTTTGGCAGCATTTATGATTTGGGCACCCGTAGTTATCTGCCATGCCTGGTCAGTCGATGGTGGCCTCTCTCTCCAGAAAGATGTCTGCCCGGAGAGAAGTGCCACCCATGGCCGAGCTTCGAACTGGCGACGGTGCGCATTGCAACCGACGGCTTAGTCCGCTCGGCCACTCCATCCCTCCTACGAACTTGTTGTTTTTCATTTAAACTATACAATTTTATTCTTATATAATAGAAACGATTCTCAGTGAATACAGTATGCTAGTCTATAATATTACCAAGTAAATTATATGATATTATAATTGTGATTAAAGTAATATTTATTTTAAATTATATTTACTATTAGGCATTTTTTTTTTTTTTCAACCCGAAGGTTGGGTTACAACTCCAATTCTCCATTCTAACCGATTCCTCGCCTTTTCTTTGAGTTCTTTGAAGGTTTTGACTTTTGCATCGATTTTAATTTGTCCTATATACGAGTTCCGCGGACGTCCTGCAGTTTTCTTTCCTTCTATCATACCCTCCAATATTATATTATGCAATTCTTCCGGGTGTCTCAGGGCATGTCCAACCATTTTCCAGCGTCTTCCTCTAATCGCATCTATGAGTGTACGTTTTTCTCCCACTGTTCTAAGTACTTCTTCATTCGTTTTCCGCTCTATCCAACTTATCCATTCCATAAGCCTCCAGCACCACATTTCGAACGCTTCTAATTTTTTCTTTTCGGTATCATTTATTACCCAAGTTTCACATCCATATGTTGCAACACTCCATACTTATATTTTTATAAGTCTCTTCTTGGTATTAAGATGTATCTTTTTTGAAGTGAGCAACTTATGTTTTTTACTAAAGGCAATTTTTGCTAATGCTATGCGTTGTTTAATCTCGTGGACACTCTTGCCATCAGATGTGATTTTACTCCCTAGGTATACCATTTCTTCTACCTGTTCCAGTTTTTTATTACCAATGTATACATCAGCTTTTACTTTCGGGTCTCTGGCACAGACTAAGATATTCGTTTGTGTACTATTTATTTTAATTTCTGATGTTCTGAGAATTTCATCCATTTCTTCAACTGCACGCTGTATATCACCTTCACTCTCTGCTATTACCACAATGTCATCAGCAAATCGTATCATTGAAACGATTTCTCCACCAATTTTGATCCCAATATTTAATCTTGTTAGCTTTGCTTTCACTATATTTATAACTTTTTCGATGTAGCAGTTAAAAAGTGGTGGTGATAACGTACACCCTTGTCAGACTCCATTTTTTTTATTTGATTCGTTAGTAGTGATTTCTCCTTTTTCAATGCAGGCTGTCTGGTTCTTGTACAGACTGTGAATGATTCGTAGGTCTTGTTGCTCAATACCTATTTCTCATAGTACATACAGCATCTTGTTCCTATTTACTTTATCGAAGGCTTTTTCCAGGTCTATGAAGGTCAAATATGTGATTTTATTTCTATCGATCTGTTTTTCAATTAGCACTCGCAATCCTAAAATTGCTTCTCGTGTACCTTTTTGTCTTCTGAATCCATATTGGTCATTTTTTAAATACTGTTCCACGTTTATTTCTATTCTTCGATTTATTATTTTTTTTTAGGACTTTTGATACATGCGTCAGTAAGCTCAGTGTTCTAAACTGCTTACAGGAATTTGCTCCTTTTTTCTTTGGTATAGTTACAATTATGCTTTTACAGTAATCGTCTGGCACATCTCCTTTCTCATATATATCCTGAGTTAGTTGGTATAAAGCATCCTTTATCTTCATACTAGCACATTGCAATAGTTCTGCTGTTATGTTATCAGTCCCAGGAGCTTTATTTTGTTTCAACTCATAGAGCGCTAGCTCAAATCCTGATCTTAAGATGGGTAGTTTTGTTTTTTTCTCATCTATTGTAATTTCCTCCTGTTTTTCTCCCTCATAAGGCTCCTCAATATACTCTTTCCATCGATTTATTATGTCCTCATCATCAAATAATAATTGACCCATTTTGTCTCTGATATTAGTGAGATTTCGTTTTCTTTTTCCTACAAATTGTTGGATCTTGTGATACGCATAATCTATTTTGTTAGCTTTGAACATTTCGTCAATTTCGCTACACTGCTGCTCCAGCCATTTTTCTTTTGTTTTTCTGGCTTCTCGATTAACCTCATTCCCCTTAGTTGACGATACTTCTGGTGTCCTTCTCTCGTGTTATTGTTTTTATATTTTCGTCTTTCATCTATAAGTTTTACTATTTCCTTGTAAATCCATGCTCTTCTGGGTTCTCTCTTTTCTTTTTTTATTAGCACAGAATCCGCCACTTTTTTAATAGCTGATTTTATGTTCTCCCACTTTTTGTTAAGTGGATCATCTACATTTTGTTTTTGGTATTCGATATCCATATAGCGTCCATATTCTTCGACAACCTCCGCACTCTTAAGTAATCTAACAGTATAATTGTCTTGCTTTACTTTTGTTCTTTGTGGTTTTTTATATCTGAGTTCGCATTTTGCTATTACTATATTGTGATCACTGTCACAATCAGCACTCGGATATGTTTTGCAGAATTTAACTTGATTCTTAAATCGATTTTTTACCAGTATGTAATCTATTTGGTAGCGGGCAATATCACCTGGCATTTTCCATGTATATATTCTTCTTTTAGGGTTTTGAGATCTGGTGTTTGTTATAATCATCCCTTTTTCTCTGCAAAACTCCACTACTCTTTCTCCTCTTGCATTTCTCTTACCTAAACCAAAGTCTCCGACTTCTCTACCTTCCCTGCCTTCTTAAACTATAGCATTAAAGTCTCCCATGATGATTACGTTATCGTGTGGTGTAGTATGTTTCATTAGCTCTTCAATACACTGCTTCCACTTCTTCATCATCTGCTTTTGATGTTGGCATATAAACTTGTATAATTGCAAGGTTGTTTGGTGTTGACTCAATTTTGACCAAACATAGTCTGCTACTGTAGGTCACAACATTCGTAACTCTTTTACCCCACTTCTTATTGAGAGAAATTCCAACACCGGCTTGTCCTTTTGTACTATTTGTATGAATAACTCTGATGTTTTCAGACCAGAAGTCACCATTATCTGGCCAACGTATTTCGCATAATCCTAATATATCTATATCTTGTATTTTCATTTCTATTTTTATATTTTCCAGCTTTCCTGTTTTCAACATTGTTTGTACATTCCACGTTCCTATTCTCTGCGTTTTGTTCTTCTCACATGTATCTTGCAGGGTAGCTCCCACCCGGACATTCGAATGGGGAGCTATTTTACGTCTGGACAAATTTTTTACACTGCGAAAATTCATTTTAGAAGACAGAATAGTAGTTGCCTAACTAGATATGTTAATGTGGCAGTTTTCCCTTGCTTTCCACATCGCAGCCCAACCCCTATTCCTAGAGATTGGTGACCAAGTATAGTTAAACCTTGTTCATCTACACTTAGTAATAGAAGCGCTGCTGCCCACTTCTATGTCCATTTTAGTCGGCTCTTACGACAGGCATGGACTACCGAGGATGTATTCTGGCTCCCATCCACAGAGGGTTATTCAAAAAAAAATTCTAAAAATTCAAACTTTTCAGTTACCAAAAATGAGTTATTTTTTTTTTTGCTAGATTTTTATTGAGCTAGGGAGATCTCTGAAACTGGATAACTGACTTGGTCGTTTGGGTTCATGTTAGATTCACATTGGCTAGGAGAAGTGCAGTGAAGATTTTAAGAACTTTATCTTCAATTGTTAATTCATTACAAAGATTTATAGGTACTTTATATTTTATTTTAAAAACATCATAAGACACATTTCTTAAACATTGTTGATGGCTCATATAGAAAATACCTTAACTGGAATATACAAAATTATGAATAAAGATATATAAATTTTTATTTTATTTTATTTACCCATTTAACATTGCATTAAGTGCCAATTTTTACTATGTTCTGTACTCTAAAATTGTTTTGTGATCATTTTTGTTAAATTTGGTAAAGGTAAATTATTACAGTTAAATATTTTAGTTGAACTAGTTTTTACTTATTGTAACTAGGTAGTATTAATTAGGTCCATTTCAATGGCCCCCCCACTTTCGAAATTTGAACTTCTGACCACGCCAAACTTTTGTGCATCGTTTGTGCAGAAATGTGCACCAGGTCCCGACGTTTGTGCACAAAAACTGAAAGCTCTATCCCAAAAACAAAATGGGGGGGCCATTGAAACGGTAGCCCCCCCACATTGAATATTTGGATTTTTGAAGGTGCCAAACGTTTGTGCATCGTTTGTGCAGAAATGTGCAACAGGTCCCGACGTTTGTGCACAAAAACTCCCAGCGCTATCCCAAAAACAAAGTGGGGGGGCCTTTGAAACGAGACACCCCCTTTTTGGAAAATTACAATTTTTAAAAGGCCAAACGTTTGTGCATCGTTTGTGCAGAAATGTGCACCAGGTCCCGACGTTTGTGCACAAAAACTCCCAGCGCTATCCAAAAAACAAAGTGGGGGGGGCCATTGAAACGAGACACCCCCTTTTTGGAAAATTAAAATTTTTAAAGGGCCAAACGTTTGTGCATCGTTTGTACAGAAATGTGCACCAGGTCCCGACGTTTGTGCACAAAAACTCCCAGCGTTATCCCAAAAACAAAGTGGGGGGGCCATTGAAACGGGACATCCCCCTTTTGGAAAATTACAATTTTTAAAAGGCCAAACGTTTGTGCATCGTTTGTGCAGAAATGTGCACCAGGTCCCGACGTTTGTGCACAAAAACTCCCAGCGCTATCCCAAAAATAAAGTGGCGGGGGCATTGAAACGATATCGAGACACTCCCTTTTTTGAATTTTTTTTTCATTTATTTTATAATAATAATTTAATTTAGGTACCTAATAGGTTTGATACAATTTTATCTTAAATCGTGGGCTGGAACTGATTTACAGATTTTAATAACAGCAAGACATAAATTTCCCGCATAAAAAAAATTTAAAAATTAAATTCCAGCGTTTCCAACATACTAATGCAAAAATCTTAATTTAAAATATCTAAAAACATAACTACTGCTTATAAATTATAACTTCAGGTAACTTAAAAATAAAAAGTTATAAAAAGTATATAAATTAATATAATAATTGCATAAGTTGTTTACAACCGACCATTAGTATCTGATGATACTTATTAGTTGTAACATCTAATAATACATGTTTTGGGTATAAAATTTAATTTTACACATTTAATGTAATTCTGATTGTATCAAATTTGTAATATTTGTGTTTTTAGACGGCTTATTATGCATAGAATACTATTACCACGACACCACACTCATTTATAGACCATACTTAAAAATATTTTTAATATCACAAAAATATTGAGTAATTATAATGCCACATTGCCACACGTGTAGAACAAATTTTAAATGTATCCTTACTACAGATTTTGTACTGTTACTCAAATAAACATTATTATTTATAATATGTAATTATATTATACCCACTCAGGCACTCAGCACTCAATATTTTATAATTGGCAAGAAAACATACATTTTCACCACTAAACACATTATCTTTCTTGAATTACTGTTAGAAGCAATCATAAAAAATTTAAAATAAACAAAGAGTTTATAGTTTAAGTTAAATTCATTAAAAAATATTAAAAATATTATCGATTTACTGTGTTAAATTAACAAAATTATTTTAATACTATATTAATTAAACAAACAAATCTGAATTCTTTCAGTAGGTACACACTACACACTATACTATATTAATAACTATCATGCACAGAATTAGAACTTTTTTGCCATGTGTTCTGAGTGATTCAGATACATTTTGTTCACGAACAATGCCACAACAGACTGTTTTTTCATAAGCTACAGTGATTACTTAGATAAATAATTTAATTAAGATCAAGAACTTGTAGTACACATTTATTTTTTTAAAACACTCAGTATTTTTTTATCATACTATAAGAAATTATTATTCCTTATACTATGGTTTTAATTTTTATATTCTAAGTTCTAAATGGATATTATATAATATTATGAAAGTTTGATTAATTAACAATGTTTAAATAATACTTCCTATATGGCTAAATAAGGTTTTTTTCATGTAAATAAGGAAATATTTTAACACAGCGTTTAAACGACTACATTAACAATGAAGTACAAATTTGACAATTTTATTTTAAATGTTATTAAATATTCAAATTAACTCTGTGAACAAATAATTTATCCAAGAGGTCTTATTTGTTGACTATAATAAACAAAAGAAAACAAATAAATAAATCTAAGTCATGTAAATATATTATAACTTATAATTGTAACATAAATACATAACTTTATCCATATATACACTATAATATTATATTATATTCTGTATTCTGGAACACAGTAGTTAAATTATTATTTAAATCTATTAGAATGTTAGTTAAACAATTAATAGAATACTTACTAAAAAAATACTTTTTAAGAATATTCAAATACAGATACCTGTTTTGAAAAGTATGTAAAAAATGAGTATTCAAATAGTTAAAAATTATTTGAATACTATTGCTCAAGTACCAAGTACCTACTTTATGAGATCTTATCATAGCTGATCTGAGTTCCAAAAATTAACTTTAGATTTAAAGTTTTTTTTTAAATAACACTTGAAATCATAACTTCTTCAAAATTAGTCGCATCGACTTGAAGTCTTCAAGATACAACGCAGTCAAGCCTTTTAAATTGTTTGATATGTATTTCAAATTCGTATTATATCGAAAACCTAAATCATACGTACGTGTCTCCAGCCCCCCCACATTAGAATTTTCCAATTTTTTTTTTGGCAAATAATTAGCATGTAATTAGCATGAATTTGCACGACAGACCCCGAAATTCGCACGTGTCTGGTATGCGAGCAAAATCCGTTCGACTATTTCGCGGATCTCGCCAGCATAGCCCAAAATGGAAATTTTGCGAAAATCAAAAAACTATATTAAGCTATATTTAGTACGCAATTCGCACGTATTCCCAAGCCTGGTTTTAAAATTCGCACGACCCTCTTTCCCCCTCCAAAAAAAAATCCATAGGGGGGAGGGGGGCAGCAATACGTCGTATATTAAATATACATTTTTTTAATGAAAATACATTTTTATTCGAATAAGCTTTTTTTGTTAATTTTATATTTTTATTCATATTACATTTAATCAAATTAATTTTTTTGTTACATATCTACAGTATTTTATTTTGAATTATGATTTTTATTGAAATTTTTTTTATAAATATCAAATATAGATCGTGTCAGGGTGCCATTTTTTTATATCCAATAATATAAATCTTATTTGAATAAAAAAGCTAGGTTTAATAGAAGAATATCAATATTTTATAAAAAAAATTGAATTTTAATATAAATGCAATTTGAATAAAATAAATAAAATTAATAAATAAAAAAAATAAAAATCCTAAGTCATTAAAACAAATCTATATTTAAAAAAAAAATTAATTTGAAAAAAAATTTAATTTGAATAAAATCCATTAAAAAAAACTGTATGTAATAAAAAAATGTAATTTTAATAAAATATAATAAATTAAAAAAATATTCAAAATAAAAAAGCCCAAGTAATTAAAAACTATATTAAATATAAAAATTTACTTTTATTATAAATGTTGTTTGAATAAAAAATATTAAATTAATAAAAAAATTCAAATTAAAAAACCCAAGTAATTAAACAACCCTATATTTATTAAAAAAATCTAATTCGTAAAATATACCCCATGAAAATAAAAAAAATTGTTGAATGAATTAATAAAAACTTTATCGGAAAAAAATTCCTAGTTGAATAAAAAATCTATTTCTTTGTAAAAATATACCCAATGAAAATAAAAAAATCATGAATTAATAAATTAAATCTCAATCAGACAAAAACCACCTAGTTGATTAAAAAAATATATTTTTCTATTTAAGTTTTTTTTTTTTAAAATAGATTTTTATTCAGCATAAATTGTTTATTTAAATTCAATATTTTTTTATTTAATATAGCATTTTAGTCCGATTTTTATTTAAAAATGACATTAGAATTTTCCAATTTTTTTTTGCAAATAATATTTGCAAAGTATTTTCATGCGTTTTAATTAGGTGAGGTATCAAAAATAAGTGGGGGAGGGGGGCTGTAGTCACGTGTCACCTTTTGGGGTAGTAAAAATACTTCACCGTATATTTTTTTAAAGGAAAGTAAACCTATAGTTGTTATCAAAAGATGGAAATTAAGGAAAAAGAAATCGTATAAAAAGCCTAGTTGAATAAAAAATCTAAATAGAAAAAAAAATGTACTTCAAATAAAAAAGCCAATAACATG